AGAAGTCAGGGAAAAAGGTGACTTATTTTCAAAGGATTGCGTTCAAAATGGTTGAAATAAAAATCTGCCCAGAAGTGAAGCTTTCCATTTCTGTCTAGGAAAATTGGCCTTGAGGAATGATTTCAGTTAACATTTCTCATGCTGCTCTGATTGCCTGTGAACAGCAGTGTGTTTTCCAAGCCCTTTGTGAATCCAGCCTCTGCCAGTCTTTGCTGCCAACACGGAGTAGGTCCCGTCCCAGGACTTTTGTGTAATAAACATGGTCCTGCTTACACTTACTCTCATGCTTACACTGACTCAGAGTACATTTCACGGTCTTAGCTCCTGCAGTTGTCCCAGGATTTCTCTAAGGCGGACAAGGCAGGTATTTCCACTGACGAGGGCATGGAGGGCATGTGAGGGCTTAGAGTCCTGTGACTTGCAAGTAGCCAATTTGGTCTCTGAAGCAAATGTTCTCATTCCTAGGCCAGTGCCCTTTGCATTCTGGCCTGATGCTTTCTTTCCTGCCACACCCCCTCCCACAGGTCAGAGAGCCAAGAGTAGGTGTGTTTTTCTGACAGCAGCTTGTGCTCCTCTGTCAGCTGCTTCATACAGTGTGTTTTTCCCCCTGGTAAGGTTGTAAGGACATTCAAAAATCTATACTAATAAAAGGGTAAAATGTTAATGAGACCGGGAGACCTTCCGGGAGACCTTCTGGACATCCTTCTGGACAAAGCCATGGAGGCGGGGCTGAGGCAGAGGCAGTTAGGGGCAATCAGACTGGTGGGGGAGTGGGGGGTGGGGTGGGTGGGTGGGTGGGACAGTTGGGAGCGAGTAGGCCTGCAAGGGAGGGCAGATGGGGCAACCAGGCCTGCAGGGGAGGGCAATTGGGGGTTACTGGGTCAGCAGGGGAGCAGTTGGGTGTCGATCAGGCCGACAGGGCTGTGGTTAGGGGGTGATCAGGCTGGCAGGCAGGTGAGTGTTTGGGAGCCAACAGTCCCAGATTGTGAGATGAATGTCGGATTGCTGGTTTAGGCCCTATCTCTTTGGACATCCCCTGAGGGGTCCCAGATTATTACTCTTGTACAATATATCTAGGTAGGCCAAGGGATGGATCAATATATTTATATATATATTTTTAAATTAATTTATTTTTTTAATATATACTTTATTGATTTTTTTTTTTTTTTTTTTTTTTTTTTTTTTTTTTTTTTTTTTTTACAGAGAGGGAGGGAGGGAGAGGGACAGAGAGTCAGAGTATCGATGAAAGAGAAACATCAATCAGCTGCCTCCTACACACCTCCTACTGGGGTTGTGCCCACAACCAGGTACATGCCCTGGAATGGAATCAAACCTGGGACCTTTCAGTCTGCAGGCTGATGCTCTAACCACTGAGCAAAACCAGTTAGGGCCCAAGGGGTATTCTTAATTAAAAAAATATTTTTATTGATTTCAGAGAGGAAGGGAGAGGGAGAGAGAAGGTTCTATGCTTCTTGTATACACTCTAGCAGTCTTTGCTAATTTCCGTGCTTTCTGGAGTGACAGGATGTTTTTGGTTCTTCATGTGCAGTTTTTGCCTTGCCTGGGAATCAGCTGTTCTCTAAGCAGCCCTGGCTCCTTTTAGTGGGAAATGGTGTTTAGGGACTAGAACGTCGGCACTATCTAGATGTGCTATTGCTGCTGTGTTGGTTATTATTTATCAATTTGATTGAACCAAGCTAGACTATGTTCTTTTTAAGGTAAACATATCATGGGTGCTTTGTGGGTGTTTATAGTCCAAAATCATATTGAGGATGCTAATGTTTTTACTTAATCTCATTATTCTAACATCTGTATCTCTTTTCTCCCATCATCTATTCTTCTTTCTCCCAGGCCTAATCCCACTTCCCGTTGAAAACATAACTATTAATTTGTTTTAACTTACATTGTCAACACTGTCACCCATAATGTGACTTCTGAAAAAAAAACAACAACAAAAAGATTCTTTTGCAATTCATATAGGTCTGTATATCACATAGGGAATGTATGTTCAAACTATTTTGTTTAAAACCACTTTCAGTTATTCTCTTTTTGTGTGGTTCTGCCAACAACTGGATGGTATATATATTTAGGTACATTTACTTTATTTTACTCTGAACTTTTAGGAACTGCTTTTTAAAAATGTGTTTGTTTTACACGACATGAACAGGAGAGGCTGATTTTAAAGAAGGCTGTTATTCTTGTTCCTCCCACTCTATTCCCTCTTTCCTTTTAGAGGTAACTTTAATACAGCTCTTTTTTTTTTTTTTTTTTTTTTTGTCTCTCTCCTCCCCCCACCCCCGCCTTGCAAAAAGCTTTATTGTTTCATTTGGTCCAATGCATGGCAGAGGGCTCCAGCGTGGTTAAAAGAATCGCTAGAACCTTTAGGGAGAGGCTCAGGCAAAAGGCAGACACTGGGGGAATGCAGAGGGGCCGAGCAAAGGCCTCTGGGCTCCAAAGGCTCCTAGTGAGCCTTTTGAAGAGATACCTGCCCCGTCCAGCCTGGGGGCCAGCCAGCCTGCAGAGGTTGTTCAGATGGTCGCCCATCTTTGTGACCAGTATCACCTCCTCATCCAGGAACTGGTTCTCGAGGAAGGCACAGAGCTGAGAGTCTGCACGGGTAGAAGCCAAGGCATGCAGCTCCAAAAGGGCCTGGTTCAGGTTCCTCTCCAAGGCCATGGCAGCTTCCATGGTGCCCAGAGTTTTGCCTCACTCATGGGAAGGCTTCAATACACCTTGGAAGAGAACACGGCCACTACGCTGGTTTTGCATCTTTTGAGATTTGCTCAGTGCCGAAAGGTCGCAGGGTCAATTCCCAGTCAAGGGCATGTACCTGTGTTGTGGGTTCACTGTCTGCTCCTGGGTCTGGCAGTGCAGGAGGCAACCCATCCTTGTGTCTCTCTCACAGTGATGTCTCTCTCTTTCTCCATCTCTCCCTCTCTTCTACTCTCTCTCTGAAAAGCAATGGAAGAAATATCCTCGGGTGAGGATTAAAAAAAAAAAGATCAAGCAAGAGTGGACAGATGAGTGTGAAGGTATGGGCCTTGAACTGGCATTCCTCATCCGTGAGCTTCTTTGCTTGACTGGATTGTTAAATACTGTCTCTCAGCAGAAGATTCCAGGTGCTGGGGGGTAACTTTTTAAACTGGGTTTGTTGCGTCTATCATTGTTCTGAGTGATGGGTGATTATACGTTTAACATTCTCTTGTAGTGATACCCATGTTAGGCTTAAATGGAAGCTGAGTAACAGGTACCACTGATTCTTAGGTTTTAGTCATAGGTTTTTTAAAGTTTAAGATGGCAGGGGTTACCTCTGGGCTTCTGGTGGAGAGCGTCAGGTTGTGTGCTGCCCTTCGCTCTGCCTGGGTTGGGACTGTCTCATGTGCACAGTTTGATGTTCTTGCTCCAGCTTTTCATCTCAGTATACTTTTATTATTATTATTATTTTTAAAATATATTTTATTAATTTCTTACAGATAGAGAGTTAGAAACATCTATGAGAGAGAATCATCGACCAGCTGCCTCCTGCACACCCTTACCGGGGATGTGCCCGCAACCAAGGTACATGCCCTTGACCGGAATCGAACCTGGGACCTTCCAGTCTGCAGGCCGACGCTCTATACACTGTGCCAAACCGGTTTCAGCCTCAGTATACTATTATTAAAGTCTATTTTATGGCCCTCTGCGTTAGGGTTCTTTTTGAAAATTGCTTGTTCTTTTTGGGGTGAATGAAAGGACTTGCTGGAAAATGTAACAGTGAGTCTTTGTGTTCTTGCAATCTGATCATCTTACTCATAATTCTTCAACTAAACAGTGTTCCCTTACATCTAAATAGTAGATGGAAACTTCTGTGACCTCTTGGAAGGTGAAGCTCATGAACATGTCTGTGCATGTGCATGCCTTTTTTTTTTTTTTTTTTTTAATATATTTTTACTGATTTCAGAAGGAAGGGGAGGGAGAGAGAGAAAGAAACATCAATGATGGGAGAGAATTATTGATCGGCTGCCTCCTGCATGCTCCACACTGGGGATCAAGCCCCCAACCCAAGCATGGACCCTTGACTGGAACTGAACAGGATCCTTCAATCTGCAGGCCGACACTTATCCACTGGGCCAAATCAGTTAGGGCTGTTGATGGGGTTTTAATGTTATACCCATTTGAGGGACAGGGTCATCTATCTGTAAATATCCGGATAGGGAACTATTACTTGGCTGAGAAGAAAATTCATTTTCGTTTTATTTCATGTCTATTTCTTTGGATCCTTCCTTTCTTTTTTTAAATTTTTTAAATTTTTATTTTTTAAAATATATTTATTGATTTTTTACAGAGAGGATGAGAGAGGGATAGAGAGCCAGAAACATCGATGAGAGATGAACATCGATCAGCTGCCTCTTGCACACCCCCCACTGGGGATGTGCCCGCAACCAAGGTACATGCCCTTGACCGGAATCGAACCTGGGACCCTTCAGTCTGTAGACCGGCGCTCTACCACTGAGCCAAACCGGTTTTGGCGGATCCTTCCTTTCTGTGTGCATCAGTCCCTCACCACAAACAGATAGGAAAGCGCCATCCAAAGCAAACGTGCCCATTGTTTCCATGTCTCTGTTGATAAGGATGGATTGCTTAAAAGGAAATGCTTATTTCAGAGTTGAGTACTTGAAAGATTTCCAAAATTTTGGCATTTTGTCTTTGAGAATTCAGTGGAGGAAACGATGTGGAGGGCCTGTGTTTACTTTTGGTGGCTCGGATTTGCACTGCGTGTTTGGATTTCTTTGAAGCGGAGAAGCATACCTTACACGAGAGGAAGTAGTTTGTGGGCTGAAGTGGCCACTGGCCATGGAGGGACAAGGTTTCCTTGCTTTTAGTCTTAGGGAAGAAAACACTCTCCCTAAATCTTACACAGAAGGCAAGCCCAACGACTCCTAACTCACTGGTGTAGGATTTTCATTGTTAACCTCTGTGGCTTGTATGTCTCATGAAGGCCTTTTTATTTCCCTTTTTAGGAAGGCACCAAAGTAGTCCAGCCCTTATTTCTGGGGAAAATCATTAATTATTTTGAAAACTATGATCCCACCGACTCTGTGGCTTCCCAGAACGTCTACATCTATGCCACGGTGCTCACGACCTGCACGCTCCTCTTGGCCATTCTGCATCATCTGTACTTCTACCACGTGCAGTGTGCGGGGATGCGGCTAAGAGTCGCCGCATGCCATATGATTAATGTGAAGGTAAGTGTCATCTGGTGTGAAACTGGGCACCTCATCCAAAGCATCAGAAGTATTTTGGGAAAGTTCTACTTAACCTAACATTTTTGTAAATAGAAGCATTTAAATCTTACTTAAAGAAGCTTGATATTTGCATCAGGCTATTTTTTTTTTAAACAAACTTTACCAACACATAGTGAGTTTTCTATGAGATCCTATCAGGGCTGCCTTTGATAACATTTGGCCATAGGCTGATGCAAAATACTTATAATGTAATCTAATATAAAAAAGTATCAGATAGATTTAAGCATGAAAAATTTTCATGCCTACACCTCAGTTATATTTATAGAAATTTTGTTGTTGTTCATTATACAGTGTTTCCCAAAAGTGTGGCACGCGTACCCACACTTTTGGGAAAGTTTGGTGAGGGTATGCGTTGCACCGGGGTTTGGTGGGGATATGCACTGCACCATGCTTGGCTGTGCCTAATTCTACGTTCTCATGAGTATGAGGGGTACTCAGCGTTATGAAAATTATAGAAGGGGTACACATATGTTTTACAATAACGTTCTATTTAAAACTGACCATCAGCGAAATTGTATCTGTAAAATGAAATCTACAAAGATGTATTTAAGAAAGGGAATGATGATATTTTTATAAGTGAACTATTTAATTATGTTCACTGTAATTGTTAACTAAAGAAAACTGTAAATGGAAGCCACATATAGACTCACTCACTATAGTCTATAATTATGCTTGTTTTTAATAGTATTAAAGAAAAGTTGGGAATTGAGGATAAAACTTTAAATTTCATATATATATTATTAACTTTGGAGGGAAAGAATGGTTTCATCTATTTTATGTCACTTTTCAGTTGTTATTGGTATTTACAGTACTTTTAAAAAATATATATTTTATTGATTTCGTACAGAGAGGAAGGGAGAGAAATAGAGAGCTAGAAATATTGATGAGAGGGAGTCATTGATCAGCTGCCTCTTGTACACCCCCTACTGTGCCCGCAACCAAGGTACATGCCCTTGACCGGAATCGAACCCGGGTCCCGTCAGTCCCCAAGCTCAGCCAAACTGGTTTTGGCGGTATTTACAGTACTTTTTACCCTGTTAGTGTGCATGTTAGCAATTTTAGTGATAAAACCCTATTTAAAAATTTTTTTTTTATTGATTAAGGTATCACATATTTGTCCTCAACCCCCCATTCCAATCTCCCACCCCTCCCCACTTATGCTCCACCTTCCTATTGTCCTTGACCACTGGTTAGGCTCATATGTGTGCACACAAGTCCTTTGGTTGATCTCTCCCTTTTATCCCCACCCTCCCTTTGAGGTCCAACAGTCTGACTCATGGCTCCTTATCTCTGGGTCTGTTCTTGTTCATCATGTCTATGTTGTTCACTATTTCTCCTAGATGAGTGAGATTATGACCTACTGGAAATATACTTATAAGAATAAAAAATGAGACAAACAATAATGGTTATGCTGAAAGGCATATGAATCAGCCTGTAGTGAGTTTCTTTCTGGGCCAACAGTTCTTTTGAGACCCAATTTCAATGTCAAATAGTTCCTTATGTGTACATGTCAGCAATGATATTTCAGTTCTGGATGGTGGACAAATGGTGGTAATGCAGGTCTGACCCTCTCTGGTTTGGTTCTGGGCAACCTGCAGTGACACACAGCTGCTGACTGCTATTATGGCAAGGCATCATCAGCGACTTCCATCTCTGGACTGCTTCTCTTCTGTCTTCATGGTTGGAGTAGTCCTGTCAATTCCTCTCTGTTGCCAGAATCCATGTGGTCTGTGAGTTGTTTTCTCTTTCTTTCTTTCTTTCTTTCTTTCTTTCTTTCTTTCTTTCTTTCTTTCTTTCTTTCTTTCTTCTTTCTTTCCTTCTTTCTTTCTTTCTTTCTTTTTTTAAAAATATATTTTATTGATTTTTTTACAGAGAGGAAGGGAGAGAGATAGAGAGCTAGAAACGTCGATGAGAGAGAAACATCGACCAGCTGCCTCTTGCACACCCCCTACTGGGGATGTGCCCGCAACCAATGTACATGCCCTTGACCGGAATCGAACCTGGGATCTTTCAGTCCGCAGACTGACGCTCTACCATGGAGCCAAACCGGCTTCGGCACTGAGTTGTTTTCTAAAAATATAGAAACATATTCTCGACCAAAAGTTTATAATAAAAGAATATTTTCTATAAATTTGACTTGGGATCCTTTTTCATTTTTTGCCCAAATGATTTTCCTCTGGCTTGTTTGACACCATGTGTGTTTTTCATGGGTGTCTGCTTTTAGCATTACAATTAATTTTCTAAAGTACAAATTTTCTAGATGTAATTTACTTAGAGGATATTTTTCCTTACATCATATTTTTCTACTTTCCCCCTTTTTTGATTTAAATATTAGGAGGTTTTGAAAATTTTATAATGTAGTCTTGATAGCTTTTAAATTTTAATTTTTTTGCACTATAATATGACTGCTGTAGGTTCATTTCCTGTTGTGAGATTTTATCCTGAGATGAGCTACCAATAAAAATTTTACTTAACACTTTAGGAGCAGCTTTTTGTCCAGTGCAATTAGTTTTTCTAGAATCTTTGCTTATTTCAATTAGCCAATTAGCCTGAAAACTTGTCTACTATTTTACTGTCAAATTTATTACTCTAAAACAGCCTTATTTTACCATGTAAATATTAGGGGAAAGGATTAGTTGCCTTCTTGAGTAGGCCCTGAGCATTCCTGGCGATAGGCTGGGTTTAGATATAAAAAACCCACTTCCCTACACCATGTTTATAAGAAAACTCACACAAATCTTGTTGTAGTGAGAGGGCAGCTGCTGTCAGCCAAGTTTCTGTCTTTTACCCGGGACACGATTTGAGCTGGGCATGGGAAGCTAAGCAGCCATGGGGGCAGGAGACTGCCTCAGCAGGGGTGAAGTTTCAGGCCTTTGAAAAGTTGGGGTGAGGGTCTGTGCCCCACCTCAGTTGACTCCCAAGTTCTCCTGATGGCCCCTCTTCGACGGTTCCTGTCTTAGGTTGTTCCTTTCCTGAGGAATCTTACCCGTTACTGCCTAAACAGCCATCCTCTGGTGCCAAGCAGGGTGATGTGAGGTTCAGTTCTGTCTTCTTGGTATCCTATGTCCCCGTGGTGTCCACATCCAGCTCCTGCCTTAGGATCCCCTTGCCTGGTGAGGGCCCCAGCACTGATCACATATCTTGGGGAACCTGGTTTTCTTCTCCAGGGAGGGCCCAGCTCGCCCCAATGGGTGAGAGACAGATCCATGGTACCAATCATCATGAGGCTTCTATGCCGACCACGGAACTAGGGCATAGAAATGGTTGCGATGCTGGTACTCTCAACTTGGGGTCTTCATTGTCACTGTCTTCTTCATTGTCGTTATTGTGTCGTCATCATCGTCATCATCATCATCATCATTGTTGTCATCATCATCCTCATCCTCATCCTCATCTTTGTTATTCTGTTGCACTCCTTTCTGCCATTCAGGAGGAGACTCAGGTTTATTTTGAAGTTAGCTACATTTTGTATTTCCAGGCCATGGTTAGCCTCCATAAATACACAAGAAATTTCACTAGCACTCTGCTCTGAAATCTGTAAACACTTAAGTCAGAGTTGAAGTGACAGTTCAAACAAAAGCTCTGTGCAGCACAGGTGAGTTGCTGTCCACCTGTTTTTCTTGCTCTTCTCACTAAGGCTTTGGAAGGTTGCCCTGGGGAAATGTGATCTGACTTAATTAGCGCATGCAAACATCTCCCATGGGTATTAATTTGCCAACTTGATTAGCCTTGAAGAATTGACCCTTTTACTAAGTCAAGCATGGCTTTGGGTTAAACTGTAGAGGAAACCTGAAATTCCAGAAACGTGGGAAAGACAGATTTCCTTGGGCACTGCCTTGCAGCTGGAATCCTGTTGAGGTGATGAGATGATACCTTATCTCAGGTGGGCTGATTGCTTAGGGCAAAAGCTGACACTGCAGTACAGCTCTGAACATTTGCAGTTTCTGATCAGACCAACCTCCTAATCTCCCACCTGGGAGAAAATCAGGTTGGTTGTTATAAATGGAATGGCTGTTAAGCTCATTTCTAATATTGAATGACTTTTTGGGACGTATCATATATAAAATGACTTGTCATTTGTTTAACCTTTTCACACCTTTGGTAAAATTACTTTTGGCTTTCGATCATTGATTTTATTATGGTAAAATATGCATAATGTAAAATTGACTGTTTCTAACTCTTTTAAAGTGGCATTGATGACATTCACGTTGATGTGCAGTCATTCCTACTATTCATCTGTAGGACTTTTTTATCTTCCAAAACTTGACCCATTAAACACTAGCTCCCCCATACCCTCTCCCCACAGGCAGCAGCATTCTGCTTCCTCTCTGTATGAATTTGCCTCTTCCAGGGACCTAATACAGGCGGAACCATACATTGTCATGTTGTATCTGGCTGATGTCATGCAGCCCAATGTCTTCAAGGTTCAGTCATGTTGTAGAATGTGTCAGAATTTAACTCCTTTTTAAGGCTGAGTAGCAGTCCATTGTCGGCACATACCACATATTGGCACGTCTTTTTTTTTTTTTAATTTAAATTTAAAATTTTTATTGTTGAAAGTATTACCTATGTCTCCTCATTTCCCCATTGACCTCTCCTTGACTGCTCCCTCCCCCCAGCACTGGCCGTCACCTTCCTACTGTCTATGTCCATTGGTTATGCTTATAATGCATGCATACAAGTCCTTTGGTTCATCTCTTACTCCGTCTCCCCACTTCCCCACATAAACCGATGAACAAAAATACATAGATCCACATGTTGTTTATTCATTTATCTGTCGTGGACACTTGGGTTGTTGCCACCTTTTGGCTATTGTGAGTAATGCTGCTGCGAACATGGTTCTACAAATCTCTTTTCAAGTCTGTGCTTCCAGTTCTTCTGGGACTATACCCAGACGTGGAATTGTTGGACTGTATGGTATTATTATGTTGAAATTTTTG